CTAGCTGGAGGTTAATTGGGTGCGCGTTGAAAAACTAAACTCTTTGGCATATGGACTAAAAGTTCCTGCTCGATGGCTACAGCAAACAAAAAGCAATTAGAACGATCGTAATTCTAGCATATTTTACCCGAATTGCAAACAAATATCTATGGATTATGCTCCACTATACACAATCCAGGGTGATGGTGGTCAGGTGGTAACGCCATCAAATTATCACCCTGGGGATGTGTTCGAATCTCACCACCACCGCCTGACTTTCCCCATTGTGTGGCAGCCCTTTGATTGGCCGCTTATTCCTTCCTGAAAGTTGTAACTTTGTATATTCAATGAAGGAAGTAAAATGAAAATAAAAAAATCCACACCCACAGCCCTAAGAATCAAAGCTCCGGACACTCCATAGATGTTTCATTTGGTTTATTAGGAACCAGCTTCAGTGAGACATTCGGATACGAGACTTTACAAGGACATACGTGAACGAAACTGCGAGAATGAAGATTTTGGCGCGTCGTATGAGGACAACGACAGACAAAATCACAACGTAATTGTCCCCACCTTGCAGCCAGCCCAACAGCGCACAAGCTTCGTTAATAAGCTGGTTAGTGAAGCGCAATACGAGCTGATATTCTGTACAAGTTTGAAAACACGTTTACAATGCGTCCACAAAATCAGTCTATTTCGAAAAGTGTTTGTGCACCAGTGATTATTAGTCTCACATTCCATCATCCGGATTGGTTCGATTTAATCTTGTTCGTGTGTCGAATTCCAAGCGAGCATCACCTGACCATGTTGGCCTAGCTTTCTACCAGATGTGTAATTTATGTCTAGAAAAAATTGAAACATTAGATAGTTGTCTAGTATCGTTTGTCTGAAGTTGAAACTATTAAGGTTGTAGTGTATATTGTACCTGTACGGAACTATCCATCACCGTCTCTTGACACAAACCCTCGATCGAGGTTGACTCGCTCTCCACCCGCCATTTGCTACCCAATTTATTTTCATGAGAATTTTACCTAATTAACTTGTACTTTTCCAGACAGTAACTTTACCACACGCATATCCTTTTTTCGGGGTGGGGGACAGTGGACACATATATAGATATGGTGATCGGGTTACAGATTATTGCGCTGCTTTTTCAAATATTCACGTGATATTTGTCTGAATCTGAGAGCATTGCAATACAGACAAATGTTAACAAGATCTCAGACCCATCAGGCGGCGCCTCAACGACAACGAGGACTGTTTTACCGGTGAACTTTACTTTCGTATTGAGAATGTTCCACGTTGATCTGAGTCAGTTCGAGCGGGGAGGTTGCAATAGTTGTAGTACGCACCGATCACGAATTACAAATCACGTGTCACAAATCACGGACATCACATAAGCATTAAATCACACTGGCAATGGCACGAAGATATTCCACATAACCGAGACACAAGGAAAAAGGCACAGGAATAGCAGTTCATTTATTGGAAGAAATAAATGGGTTTAAATAATATATAAAAAGGAAGTTCATTGGTATTCCAGGCATCTATCAATCGTGGGCTCGTATTCCTGACGTCGTAAAGCTTCGGTTCGGGCCGCACGGCTTCTGATTGGTCGGTACAATCGTCCTATGGTTCGTTGTCCAGAAGCTATAACGCGTAGGCGCTTTGCTGGTGTCACCTGGGCAGCTTGACTCATCACAGTTGTGCAGAAACTGTAATGTGTCGCCCCGTGGTTTGCGTTATCCCGTGATCTAGGATCACCACAGAAGTGTACTGCATTCGTTGGGCAATATCCTGACTCTCAGAAGTGGGATTTCTTTCTAGGTTAATCGCTCTTGAATATGCGATAGGGGCGGTGCCATGGCTAACTGATTCACAACGAGCTTGAAGATTCCGGTGACTTAGTATCATTTCGTGTTATGTTGTATGCATATCTCACACCACCTTGAGAACAAACATGGTTCCAACGCAAAATACAGTGATGATAGAAATAGGTGCAAACTGGTGAAATGAAAATAAGGAAGCTGAGAATAGGGAGAACAACTGAATGAATGAATGGCTTTTATAGTTTCAACTATGCTTTTTGAAGTTTTGTCCGTTATGGGATTCGGGGTTTCAACAATCTAACCTCACAACAATCGCGCCACTGACGTCTATCCTGAACCATATCTCTCAATGTATCTAACCGTCGGCAGTCGTTATCCCTTGGCGAGTTGTACCAACCGAGCCCATAATGAGGCTAAATTCCTCATATCTCTACTCCTGATATGACCCTCGCTGTGCTTCCTCCTGTTTGGACGGAGCCTAAGAAACCCGTCCGATCGCGCAAGCCTCCGAGTCAGGCCACACGCACGCTCCCAACGCTCCAGACAGACTGAACCTGATTGGATGATCACAGAACGTGTCAGCCAATGTTTTGTCCAATCGATTAATCGACATGTCAAGGACACTATCTGATTGGTGCGTCACTGCACCGTTCTCGAATGCACGATTAGTCTATATGTTTTGGATATCGATAACTTATCGAAGAATACACGCTGACTGTGGTCTCAACCTGTGTTCTCTCTCCGCGTTGTCGTTGGGGTTTAAGCAAGAGTCGCTCGTGTCATTCGTACGCTTAGACCAAACACAACAACTGGCGACGGGAAAATTTACGGATCCACAATGTCGATCACGCCGGAGCAGTTACAAGCAATTCTCAACCAGCAACAGGCACAATTCGAGGCCGCGCACCTAAGGATGATGGAGACCATGTTACAACGTCTCAGCACACATCCCAATCCAGCAAAACCGGTTAAACAGTCTACATCTATGGACGCTGTTGCCGCAAGCATCACTGAATTCCTGTACGACCCCGATGCAGGAATTACATTTGATTCCTGGTTCAAACGTTGGGAAGATGTATTCCGTTTTGAATTCGCAGATGCTGATGATGGATGGAAGGTGCGACTACTGCTCCGAAAGCTGGGAACCAAAGAACATGATCGTTACACCGACATGATTCTGTCCAAAAGTCCACGTGATTTCACTTTCGAAGAAACGGTCCAACAACTTTCAAACACGTTTGGTGAAAAGGCGTCTTTGTTCAGTATCCGGTACCACTGCCTCAAATTGGCGAAAAATGATACAGACGACTACCTGACACTAGCCAGCATTGTGAACCGGGAGTGCGAGAAATTCAAGTTGCGTTCCATGACTGATGACCAATTCAAATGCCTGATATTTGTGTGCGCACTTCAGTCTCCCCGCGACGCAGAAATCCGCACTCGTTTACTAAATCGCATCGAACAAGATCCTAACATCAATTTACGGACATTAACAGACGAATGCCAGCGACTCGAGAACCTCAAACATGACTCAGCCATCGTTGAGCAACGCAGCCCGGCTACAGCCTCATCCAATGTCCATGCTGTCACAAAGCTCGGTCAAATGTCTACCCGAAAGCCACAAGCAGCCGCTACCCGAAGACCCCCCACTGCATGTTGGAAATGCGGAGAATGGCATTACGCATGGCATTACTTCCGTCAGAGGACAACTATCGGTACCCAGTACACGAATTCCTAATGACCCCAGCAGGATAGGCATGGTTATGAGCCGCGCGATTGTGAATCTGCGTACTGTAATAGTTACGTGGTTGTCTGATTCTTTAAGACCACTCACTCTTCTTTAGTTCGTGAGAATCTAGTTGATTTTAGTTAGAACAACACATTTGGAGTAGTATGTAAAAACACGTACCGTGCGATGATTGCTCGTTCCTATCACATTGTCATTTCACCTTCCTCCCTGTCTTCACAGACACCGCTATACTCCCTACTGATCGGTTTCACGATCTAATTGAATAATTTTCGTCGCGATTTGTGTAACCGTCAACCTGACATGAGGCTGTCTGATCATGAATTCACAATGTGTGTGTGGCACGCCTATTGTCGACTCTTATTGACCAACCGTGTTGTGATGGCACACCTGCTGCGCACAGCACGCGTAGCCTGCCGGTCGTGTAAAAGACTCAAGGCGATCAACAATAAATCGGTTCTCACATGCGCAAGATCGGCAAGCGTCCCGTCCGTTGTTGCAGCTGGCCCATCCAATCGATCAATGAAAGAACTCGATTGATCGTGCGTGT